GCACAATTGAGGCCACCGCGGGAAGTCGGACACGCATAGCATATAGGCGACGAATTAGTCCGAACTTTTTAAATTATAACTTTTTTATAGGATGGGTGACAAACGAGCACACAGTCCACCTGATGGTAAGTGGATGCTGTGGCCCACAGACATCTACAATCACCCTCGCTTTAGAATCAAAATGCAGATGCGTTGTCACCGTTGAGGAGTAAAATGGAATGCCTCGATTCCAGTAAAACGGGTTTCCGCGGTTGTCTACACTCACCATACGAAACACAGCAGATTAAGCTGCTATTTTACGCTGGTATTCTGTGAGAGCGTGGTACTTCCCCGGTCGAGCCGAGCCATTCATGCTACAACCGTAATATATGTAGCTGCAGCGTGGCTCTACCACGTAAAAAACTTAAATTAAAAAATTTAATAACCCTCGAAACAAAATAAGCTGATGATTTTCGAACGGCTGAATGGATTTTGATAAAACATATTTCGGGACCACCGTTAGAAAACCTACTTTTAACAAATAAAACCGCACTCAAATTGGTCCACCCGTTTAAGGGCTACGGCACCGTAGCCCTTAAACGGGTGGACAGACAGACACACACACATAGCGGTCAAACTTATAACGCCCTCTTTTTTCGTAGTGGGTTAAAATTACCAAATCTGTATTCTAAAGGTAGAAACAGACTGGTCCCACATACGCAACGTTTGCAACGCATTATGACATCTAAACGCGTGATTTTGTATGAAAAACAACACTAGAAACACACTTGTCGTACGCAGCGCAATCACACGCGATTCTAGATCGTGGGAAAAAGGAGGGGATGTTCGTACGCAGTCCCACGCGTACGTCCAGTGCGTTCCTAGAACTTACGCTCAGTACGCCATAAACATGTAGACATTTGCTATGTGCACGCGATTCGTTGTCAAATTTTAAGATGAGCAGCTCATCGATTCAGTAAGGCGATACGAATGTATTTATGACATTAAATGTGTAGAATATCATGATGCTACATTTTTGTTTATGAACATCTGAGAATCAGAAAACATGGTAAAAATTTGTACTAATGCGTCCGCTAAGAAGTAACAAGAGTGTCTCACGTTTCTGGCATATAGTGTATTATCTATGGTATGACACAAAACGTACGTTGCATGTATACGTAAATCAAGTGTGTCTATCAACGTGAGAGCGTTGCATCGCATACGTTGCGTACTTGGGATCAGTCTGTTTCTCCTCTAATGCATTACTTTTCTTCATTGTTTCATAAAAGTTCTTCCTGTAACGCGCATATTCCCTGTACGAAAATATCTTTTGCAATCTATTTCCTTTGCCGCAATTTCTACAGAAACGATTTCTTGTTTTATTAAGCAATAAATACAAACAAACTTGCCGTCCATCAGATGGTAAGTGGCTACATTGCTCGAGTTTTCTCCGAATACGAGACCTCAGTGTTCGTTTCTCGTAACGTTTTCTTTACCGACGAAGACCAAAAAAAAAAAAAAAAAAAATCCTCTAACACTTGACTTACAGGCGTTCATGCGACAGAGCGACGCGGCGGTCCGTTTTCACAAAAGGCTTTTAAAATTTATCGTCCATTTTGTGCACACAATGGAACACGATTTTTCATGAGACGAAGAGCTTTATTCCCTTGCGTGTTTATTCGTCCACTTGAAATTTGCCGATGACCTCATTTCAATATGTTTTCACACGTTTTTGTTATTCTTTTTATTTTGGAAACATAATTTTTTTCTTTATATAAATATGTTCGATTTTATCCTGCGAGTTAAAAATGCCCTTCAGACAGAATTTCGGTAACGACGGCCAATCTCAACGGAGACTAGCTATGAGCAGAACAGGATTATAGTCTGATAAATGGACACTCCGACACGACTGGAGAGAGATCAGGTGCAAGATTAAGGCCTTAGGTGCTTTCCGAGGCAATGGATTGAACCAGCGCCAACTTTCTGACAAAAATTTCTGTTTAACTGATGCTATTCGATGTTTTAAGCAAGTAAAAGCCTTCCAAACATGTTTAAAAAAAAATTACATTTACTGTTATGATTCGGCTTAAAAGAAAAGAGCTAGTTTGGCTTAAATGACACGGGCTATAAGACTCGCTTTCACCTCATCTTACGAATATATATAAAAAATATTTACTTCACCTGTTTATGTCGCTTAAAATTAAAATGTGAAGTTTATTTTTGTCATGAAGTATGATTTTGAATTACTTTCACCATCCACCATGTTTAAAACCATGTGGCAAAATTCTTAGATTAGGTGATGTGTTGAATAGAAACACATTGATTATGTATTCGGAAGCCGTAGCCGTACGGTCCGATTAATCCGATTTATCGACAATCCCTACATTCGCATGATCGAGATTTATCGTCAATTATTACAATACGAATTACATGTTATCGAACTGCACACAGAAAACTAAGAAGTTTTAATGTAAATGTTGAAAGATTGTGTACATAAACGAAATAAATATTCCCGGTGTGAATCTAGACGTTTTGAAAATTCCAAAAATAAAAAATATAAACCTGTAATTCCCCCTGGCGTTGCAATTATTAAATGTCATGCAAATTGTCAAATACTATAAAAACCTACGGTATGTTAACGGGGGAGGGGGGGACCATGAGTGCTGTTAATCCCCCCCCCCCGTATTACACAGTCAATGACTATATTGTGAAGAAAGATTTTTTTATAGAATAATGATAAACGAGCACACAGTCCACTGATGGTAAGTGTATGCTGTGACTCATAGACATCTATATTTATCCTCGATTAAGAATCAAAACGCAAATGCGTTGTGTCACCCCTGTAGACTTAGATGGAATGCTTCGTTTTCAGTAAAAAACGATCTCAGGATCTCTACACGAAACACAGCAGTATTAAGCCGCTATTTTACGCTGGTATTCTGTAAGAGCGTGGTCCTTACCCGGTCGAGCAGAACCATTCGTGCTACAACTATAATACAGCTGCAGCGTGGCTTGGTCTCAATGTGTTACAGTTTAACACATATACAATCTCATTTTCAAAGTTGGAAAATTTTATAAGTTATACTTATCATAAGTTCGCCAATGACGTAATTAGTCGTAGAACTTTACTTTGTACTTAAAGTATAGAACACTAAGTAATAATTATTATTATTTTGATATGTCGACGTTCGTAAGTGCTGTGTTTAAAACCTCCATGAATAAAGATATTTGATTTGATATATCCTTCTACTAAGTAACTATTTTCATTAGTCTGATATGATATATTTATTCCTGAAATGCTCGTCGTATTTATGACCCTAATTCTTGCTAATATCATGCCAAGTCACAAATTAATGCAAATTTCTTGTTAAATTTACATCGTAGCGGAATCTAATAAAGGTTAATGAGAGTTTTCAGAAAATTCCTTCGTGGGATTAAGATTAATGCTTTCCCGCGCTTATCCGCCTGACTCGATCGGACAGATAATTTAAGAGGCGAATTTGCTTTGCTTACGTCAAACTTTTCATCATCGCATTTAATGGACGTGGCGGCTTCTTGCTGTTTGGCCATCAGCAACTAACAGCAGCTTATAAAAAGGGAATAGTTCTTAGTGTTACTCCAATGATTGTCGGGTTTTATAATTCCTCTCAAGTGTTTTTTCTTTTAATTTCTCCGACACGCCACGAACTTTATGATACGTAAATGGTTCGATCTCAGCTTCTAAGATTGTAGGACTAGAACTATCTTCTGTTTATGAGGCCGTCTGGGTTAGTGTCTTCCTTTTGTTTATTTTTTCGCCAAAAATTGCACTTACTGTGTTCTGTTTTAAAAGAGTTTTAAATTAGTGATTGTAGACAGTAAGGCATTCCGTTTTAACCTTAGGGTAAACACATCTTGTGACTTATTTTTGTTTTAAATTGGTGTCCTTAAGCTTCAGATGCAGATAATTGCTCCATTCGAAGGTTAAAAATGGAGCTGCCGTGAGTGTGAAAATACTGACAAGGATTATTAAGATGCTAATATTTATGACTTGGTATTGCAGAACGTGTCACAATGATTAATAAACGTTGATACATTTGTATGTCGCTTATACAAATATATTTCTTTCTATGGTATTCGACGAATAAAAGCGAAACATAATATACAGTACCTAATCCGTCTTATTACAAACAGTGATTTAGTAATAGTCCCGTCTTTTATGACTTTAAAATAGTCGAAGGAAAGTTTTCGAGAATAGTCTTCGCGAAATTTGACATTTGCTGTCAAACTCTATAACTTTAAATTTTAGTTCGTAATTTTCCGCGGGTCTTTCTTCGTGTAACGGATTATAGTTTAAACCTCTCTGATACTATTTATAACATACTTTTTTTTGCACGTATTTTGCTACGCTCGTGCGGTTCAGTCTACGAAATTATCATCAAACGAACTTACAGTCCACTTTATGGTAAGTTTATACGAGGTAGAGCCACGCTACAGCTATGTTATGATTATAAGCACGAATGGGTCGGCTCGACACGGTAGGACCATACTCTCACAGAATACCAGCGTAAAACAGCAACTTAATGGTGTTGTGTTTCTTGTGGTAAGTGTAGAGAACTAGAGACTCTTTTTACTTGAAACGAGGCTTTCCATCCCAGGCCTCAGGGGTGACAACGCATCTGTATTTTGATTCTTGATCGAGGATGAATGTGGATGTTTATAGGCCACAATATCCACTTAGCATCAGGTATACTACTATGCGCTCATTTGTTTTGATGCTTTGTTAACCGCTGAGGACTAAGCTGGATTGCCTCGCAGTAACCCTGGCTCTCTGTAGCCTTCACACCGGAACACGGCAGATTAATATTAAAACAGCGCGATTAACCCATAGCGGGATGCTAAGTAATCCATATAGCACGTTGTAAAGTTGGACGTCCGGCAACGATGATATAAATAGGTTTAGTAACATGTACTAGTCATCGATTGCCCCGTGTTGTTCTGATATTCAAAAGTATTAAAGGCAATTTTTCTTTTGTTTCCAGAGCATACTGGGCGAGTTCAACCGCGAACAGGACGCGTTCATCAAAGGACAGGATTCCCGCGGGGGTGGGGCTGCCGTGGCACCCTGGGTTGGGGCTCCCAACGAGGCCGCGCTTAAGGAAGAGTGCCTGTCGCTCTCTACTGTAAGTACATTTTTTAACTATTATATAACTTGCTTTGTTCAAGATCATCAATGAAATATATTGTTACGAGCTTAGGGTTCGTGACAGTAAAAACTGCCGATTGAATTACCAAAATTGGCACTTTAATTACTGAACACCAACTAAAACTTAAATATTACTAATAATTAATCACACTTAACACTTTAGTTCACTTTATTTCGCTCTGAAAGCTTCGCTCTGTTAGGAGGCCGATCCCGTTTGACTTTTAAAAAAAAAGACACACCGAATAAACCTAAAGGTTTATTGCAAAAAAAAAGTTCACACCAAATTAATATAGTCCTTGACTTCCGAACTCTAATAAGTCTCGGAATCTATGTCCGATCTACCCGGGGCTCTGAGTCTAACTGAACTTTAAAAATGGAAAGAAACAATATATAACAATATAATTGCTGACTATAGCTATATTAAGGAAAAGTACCGTGTGATTCAATGAATGCTTACTAATATTTTATTGCTTTGTAAAAGGGATATAACAAAAGAACAATACAACAAAAGAACAATATAACAATATAATTGCTGACTATAGCTATATTAAGGAGAAGTACCGTGTGATTAAATAAATGCTTACTAATATTTTGTTGTCTTGTAAAAAGGGATATAACAGCTCCCCCCTTTTGACTGAGCTTTTTCTAAATTAAGATAAAGCGAAGATTCGAAATAGAAAAGCGATTAGAGGTCGGAAGACATTACAAATTATGAAAATAGGAAATTAAAATTTGTGGTAAAATATTGCAAATCAATCTCATAACAATGTAAAAACTTTCGAACTAAATTTTACATAAAGATACAATAGTATTATTCGTTAACTAAGTTATACAAAAGAGACAGAGTAGAATTCAAAAATAATCAATTTAAAATTAAGGAATAAAATTATACAAAAATGAATTATTTAAATCTAAAATTAAAAGTATTTTGAATGAAATAGTAAAATTAGAATTTACTTGTATTAAACAAGGTAGTAATTTCAATTACAATTACATAGATTGCATTTAAAATAGTAAAATATAGCAATTACAAAATATAAAGTGACAGAGTAGAAATTAAGATTATATGATAATAAAATCGATTATTTGTATTAATACAAAATTTTAAAACTAAAATTGAATAAAATTAGAAATTAAGATTTCTTCGAGAGGAAGAATGAACTTTGTCTACAGTTTTATAAGGCTTATAATTAGTACAATTTGGTAAAGATTTAAGCGAGATATTATCTTCTTCAGATGTCGATTTATCGGTCATCTCAATTGAATTTGAAATTTTGGAGTTATGTTTCGATGACTTTTTATTATTACATTGATTAAATATTTGTATACAATATCCACTGCTATCGTGACGATTTCTGCAGCATTTAAATAATTTATAGGCAAGGTATAAAAATAGTAGTACAATTAAAACATAAGTAAATGTTGAATAGTATGAGCCATATTTAATAAAATGTGATTCTTTTTGAAGATTATTTAATTCAAACTCTAAACTATCCAGTTGATGATTTGCATATTTTAAAGAATCCAAGTTAACTTTGCTTAAAGAGATTGGCGTTAAATATGGTAAACTTTTATTAAATATGTCCTTTTTGCAACAATCATCTTTCGTTATATCAAAGCTTATATCTATTGTTGATTTGATCGAAAATTGGTAAGTACTTGTTGGCAATAATTGAATAGTTTTGGAATAACCAATACAATTTTCGGTTAATTTGACAATACCTGTGCCAATAATAGAATGATCAGTAATGTCGTCATCACATTTGATAGTTAATTTGTTTACATTAGATTGTACATAGATCCATCTATTATTTTTTAATTTATGCCAAATATTGATTTGGCCAAATAATAACTTGGCGTTACACTCAGAAGGTAGGGAAAGAATTACTTCTGTTAGTAATTTCGATTCACAATTAGGATTATTTACACTAGACGTTATAGTTAATAGTTCACAAATAGAGTAGTTATTATTAATGAAATTACAATCATCTAAGTTATTAAACATAGTATAATGTATTCTATCGTCACTTAAAGCAATATAAGAATTAGAAGGTTGAATAAGTGCAAAAGTTTGCATATTATGTGACTCGTCGTGAGGAGTCGGTAATGGGATATTTTTATAAACAGTGAATTTATCAGGTGTTATCAGTGGAATTTGCAAACTGAAAACAATCTTATTGTTATAATAATATGAACTAAGTTTCGAGACGTCAATCAAAGAATGAATATTATGTATGTTCAATTGCATTGGAAAATCTAAACGTTTGTTTAATTGATTAATATGCTTAGTTAATTCATTATAAAGACTTAAAGGGCTAATCACGCTAGGATGCAAAACATTTACCTTGGAAAATAAAATAGCATTTATAGTTGTGTCTAGTAAGTTAGAAATAGCAAGTAAGGAGCCTTCAATTACGTTTAGTAAATTATTTATCCTAGAAATGTGAAGTAGTAAGTTATCGGTTTTTGTAATTTGTGACAAAATTTCATTCATTTTATTAATTTGGGAATTCAATTTTAATTCGTTTTGATTTAATTTATAAATAGTGGCATTAAAATTATTTATAGTGGATTTAATTATATGAATATTATCTCTGAATAGATTAAATAGTTCCGTTTCACTTTTCCGACAGGATTCTATCGCGGCATCATATTTTCGCGCATCATCTGCGTCTAGAGTACCAAAGAAAAATTTAAGAATTTCGCCTCCAAATTCCAAAGATCTTTTGACTTTGTTTGGCGATGGGTTATTATTGATTAAATGTGCTAGAGATTGCAATTTGACGTAATTATATTTTATTAAAGTCTCTATAGGAGTAGAAAAATCTTTACACGGGGAAAATTCGTCAGTATTTATTTTGGAACAAAGGTTTAAAGTATCATATAATAAATTTTCTATTTTATTGAGATAAGGATCTAAGGATATAAGGTCTATATATGTTATGACTTTCCAATAATCGTTATAAAAATTAATATGCGTAATAGGTTCAAAATAAATTCCAGGACTATGTGATATAGGTATGATCCTCGATTCAGCGTGGCTTTGGTTTCCATAGCATAAAGCTCTGAAAAAATATACAAAGTTAATTAAATTTAGGGAGTTTGAATAGCAGGCTTAATTTCGTTTGTATGGTACTTAACATGTTTACGACCTATTTGTAACGTTACGTTATGCTTATTATTTATTTTTATAATTTTATATGGGCCCTTCCATATAGGTGATAGAGCCTTACGGAGCCGGTGATGATGTTTTATATACACTAAGTCGCCAATTTTATAAGAAGTTTCACGTGAACTAGCGTCATAATATTGTTTCGATTTTTCTTTGCTATTAACTATATTTTGAATGGCCTTTTCTCTACTAAAACGCATTCGATATTGTAAAGCTCGAATATATTCATTATAGGTTGTATTATTATTTGTTTCATATAGGGAATTTGGAATGTTAGGTTTATAACCATATAATAATTCATGAGGGGTGAAATTAGTGGTGCAATGTGGAGTGGTATTATAAGCTAATATTGCGGTAAATAGATAACAATGCCAATCATTCTGGTTTTCGTTTACGAAAGATTTTAGGTATTCTTTTAAAGTAGCATGTGAGCGTTCTAGGGCTCCATTTGTTTGTGGGTGATAAGGAGTGGTAAATAAGGTTTTAACTTTTAGAATTTGAGTCAGTTGTTTAAATAAATCGGACGTGAAACATGTACCCAAATCTGTTAAGATCGTTTTAGGAAAACCGAAAAGAGACATAAAATGTACGAGATTTCTGGCTATTTCTTCACTGGTAGCTGTGACCAGGGGATAAGCGCTTGAAAATTTAGTTAAATCGTCTTGCAATGTAAGGATAAATTTGAATTTTTGGAAACCTGCGTCGGGCAAAGGACCAACGATGTCGAGAGCTAATCGTTCAAAAGGTCTAGTAGAAGTGGAAGTTATCTCCATTGGAGCCTTATTGGACATTCTCAGCGGCTTATTAATTTTTGTCATAATTGGCATTTCTTAACGTAATCTACAATATCAGAGCGCATACCCTTCCAGTAGTAGGCGGCTTTAATTCTTTTATACATACGATTTGATCCTGGGTGACCCGCAATAGGTGAATCGTGATTCTCTTTTAAAATTTTAGGGATTTCGATGGGAGTAGGGTAAATTAACCGATTTTTATAAATATGAATTTTAATATTTGTGCTATGGAAAATATAGGCAATCATATTATATACCTTAATATAACCTAACTTAGAAAATGGGTCTGAAAAGTCTGACAAGGCGAGATCTGTGATATCGGGATTTTCGACTAAAATTTTATCTCTAAGTTTTATCATTAAATTGTAGATGTCTTTAAATTTGGTTTCTTCATAATGGTGAACTTTGGTATATAAAAAATAGAAGTATTTATTCTTATCTTTAACACATTGAATTGTAAAAGGTTCGCGTTCGGAATTCAGCAATTCCTCCGGCTTATCTAACTGCGATAATATTTCTTCACAGTGAGGTATAGATGAATCGAAATCTAAAGAGACCGGACACGCGATATGTTTTAACTTAGACAAATGTAATCCTTCAGTGCATTCTATAATTACTGTATTTGAAATAGGAGTTTTATTGGAGAATTGATCCTTAAAATATTTTTCATAACTAGAGTTATTTAAGGTGTTAATGTCTATAACATTAACGGGACAGCGAGATAACGCATCAGCATTGGAGTTTAAACGGCCTTGTTTATAAATGATTTCGTAGTCATATTCTTCGAGTTTTAGGCGCCAACGAATGAGTCTACTGCCTGGGTCTTTGACATTAAATAACCATACTAGTGGTCTGTGGTCGGTGACAATTTTAAATTTATTACCGTAGAGGTAAGGGCGAAATGTTTTAACTGCGAATAAAATGGCTAGGAGTTCTTTTTCGGTAGTTGAATAATTACCTTCGGCACGATTTAAGGTGCGCGATGCGTAAGCTATTGGTTTATCCTTGCCG